TTTTATGCTAATGTGAAGTCCATATTCGTCCATATGAAGCGGGAGGCGGCGGGGCGCTGTAATCCCTGCATGTGCCTGTTTATTCAGCAGAGCGGGATTTACATGTGAATAGGGAGCGCTGCTGCGCGCACGCACACGCACACACACCACACACACACACACACACACACACACACACACACACACCACACACACACCTATCTGCTGTGCTGGCTTCACACCCACTGGACGTGTTATTTTTACTACTGTTCTGACGGCTTTGAGAAAATATTTTCACACTACAATATTTGCAATGATCCGGTTCGTGGTCCGGTCCAAGTCTATTTTTAGGTTTGGTGTGGCCTATTTTTAGAGCTGGCAGGCTGCAGACACTGTAGGAGTCTGTCACAGCGTGTGGATGGTCAGTGCTGCAGTTTAAGGAGCCTTATAGTGTGTGTGCAGTCTTAGAACTGAAAGCCTATTCACTAACTGTGTACTGAAGGATAAAGGAGGAAAACAGCCCAAATGAGACTCTATTGGTCTGTAAAAAGCAGCTTATGGGACATAGACATTATTGCTACCATTATCTACTGTAATTAAACCCTCAGTTGTAGCGATAATGTGCCCACAGTACAATAAAATCATGATTGTTACTGTAATTCTGCGGGTAAATAGGCCTCTCTTGGTTTTCAAACATACTGCTCCCCTCCTGTTTTCACTGTAAAATAAGACATTTCGTGTCTTGTAATTATATTGTTTCCTCTGTGTTTGTGATTTGTTCCCAGGTCTTGGGGAGTCCTGGGGTCATGTGAGTCGCAGCAGTTCTCTGGATGGAGTCAGCCAGGAATTGGCTCCCATCTATTACAGGTATTGACTGTGTGGTTTTGTGTATTCACACAAGCAACAGCACAAAAAAAAGCAAAAGAAAAAATTAGCTTTGATGTTTGCAACTGACTGACATGCTACAAGGTTACTTAAAATGTTCATTAGAATGACAGAGAGAATATACATTTTATTTTTATTGTTATTGTTATTGTTATTTTTATCCAGCCTTGGGTAGACTGTGTTTGGTTGGTTTAGTGGCTGCTGCATCTGCCTCCTGCTGCCTTCATTTTTGTGAAGAGTGAAATGAGCTGAACACATTCCTGGTCACGCACAGAGCCTCAGTCTGTCCTGCAGCCCTCTCACATCAAGCAATAACATGAGGGAGCAGGGCTGCAGGCTGCAGGCTGGACAGACAGGCTGCACAGATACAGGCCACAGAGAATCACAGGTTGGCTAGTACTAGTCACACAGACATCAAGCCTCTTTTACACAGCCACGCAGGAATGTTGTGCCTTTATTCCACCTCGCTGTTCTGTATATAAAAGGTAGCTATGAACACAGAATGGGTGAAGGGTTTTTTGTTCCGCCTTTATGCGGCAGTGGAGGGAGTCACAGAGCCGGATTGAGCCGGCATGGCGCGGACAGGACGTCGACATCACGCCTCTGATTCCAGCACGCTGTCTAAAATCATGAGTCGAGTCACAGAGTAGCAGGCAGCAGACTGGGGCTGAACGACATGCAAAAAATTCATATTGTGATTATTTTGGCATATATTATGATACGAGTCACAATTTTCTTTGGAAAAGTAATTTCTTTATTTTTCAGTGAAAAAAATATAAAAATGATGATGGTGTGTTTGGTTGCACCAAAACAACTGCTCCTTTACATCTGCAGAATATGATTTGTAGGCCGGGGCGTCTCTGCAGCAAACACAACACTTATGGTGCTAACAATGCACGACAATGTGACACATCTTACCTTCATCAAAAAATTGCAGCTCCTGTGATTTGGATATTGCACCTGGCCACATGACATTTTGATTATATTTTGATTAATTGCGCTGCTGTAATAGTAGCCTAACATATATTCCTCCACTCAGCTGCCAGTTTATTAGGCTAGGCTACACCAAAGCTAAACTGAAGAAGTCGAATACAACAGCGGATAATAAATAGTACTTTCATGAGGTTTTTTTGTAATGATGAAAATGGAGTGGAAAAATATTTAGCAACACATCTCAGTGCGATGATTTACAAAACCATGAAGCTGAATCAGCACCTCTCTCAGAGTTACATGCCATTTGTATTTGACTGCATTAGTTTACCTGGGAACACATGCCTCATGTCGTTGTTGTATTTTGTTAATTTGTCATGATGTTGTTAGCACAACCAGTCTGTCTGCTGTAATAGTGTCTCTACAGTTTAAATGATAGACTCAGACAGTATGGTGGATTAACATTGTCTGTAGAAATCAAGACAATAACATTGATTTTATTGAAGTATTTGCCTTTTGTCAGCGTCTAAACCAACAACACTGTTGTTATTGTTTCTTCCAGACGTTAGACGGCTTCATCTTCGTGGTCGCTTCAGATGGGAAAATCATGTACATATTCAGAAACAGCATCAGTCCACTTGGGTCTGTCGCAGGTTGGTTTTGGCGAGCTTGACGTAACGTCCTCTGTGTGTGTGTCGGTGCTGATGTGTCACAGCTCTGAGGTGAATGTTTATTTCTACAGGTAGAATTGACAGGAAACAGCATCTATGAATACATCCATCCAGCAGACCATGATGAAATGACCGCCGTCCTCACAGCACACCAGCCTTACCACTCACACTTTGTTCAAGGTAATCAACAACACAGACACGTTGTACTGTAGATGATATGGACTCGTCAGAAAGCAGAAATAACTGTTTTTTCTTTTTCTCT